TCCAAATAATTCTTCCACTATTAAAAATAGTAACAATCAAAGTGTTTCCCAAAAATACCCCAAAATAATTTCTCACTATTTTTCTCTCCCTTTTTTAGAACCCAATTCTAAAACTGAAACTCTCTCAAAAACTCTCTTCGCTCGGTTGTGTATATTGAGATGGCTGAGCCATCTCCTATTTATAGGAGAGGGTGGACGCGTTAATCCACTGAAATACAGGTCACCTACCAAAGAAATCTCCTATTTCCTTCTTTCCTTTTTCAACTACGTGTGGGTTCTACCACGTTTTCCATTCTACTCTTTTTTTTTATTTGTATTTGTTTCAAATGTGGGTCCCATTGAGTGGGCACCGCACAACATTTTGTTTATAAAAAAGAGTATAATCTGGTTGACACTGATGAAAACCTTTAGAGAGTAAAGCAGAAGTGAGCTTAGCATACCACTGACAGCCAGCTTGCTTTAAACCGTAAAGAGAACACTTCAGTTTACAAACTTTATGGGGTTGAGAAATATGAAGTCCCTGAGGTATATGCATGTAGACCTCTTCAAATAAATCCCCATGAAGAGAAGCATTATTAATATCTAACTGCTGTAAATGCCAATTTTTGATAGCTGCTAGTGCTAACAAAGTTCGTAATGTTGTCATCTTGGCAACTGGGGAAAAGGTATCCATATAATCAAGACCAGCTTGTGGAGTGTAACCTTTTGCTACAACCCGAGCTTTGTAGCGCTCAATAGAACCATCAGCTTTATATTTAATCCAGAATACCCATTTACAGCCAATAGGTTGTTTGTTTAGTGGCAAATCCACAATATCCCATGTTTGATCAAGAGCCAAAGCATCTAATTCAACCTTCATAGCCTCCTGCCAACAAGCATACTTAACAACCTCTTTGTAATTTTTGGGTTCAATAATGAGCATCAGAGAATTGGTAAAAATGAAATGAGAAGAAGAAAGGTTAGAGTAAGACAAAAATTTAGAGAGGTGATGAGGAGCTGGACTTACTGTTGAGGATGAAAGACTTGATTTTGGAAAAGAAGTGCCTTGTACCAGTTGGCAATGGTAGTCACGTAGGTAAGAAGGTGTGGTTCTCACTCTTGTTGATCTTCTAACGGGACAATTTGAGGATAAAGAAGGCTGCGGTAAAGACTGTTGGTTATGGGATTGTGGGTGAGGCATGAAAATCTGTGAATGAGATATGGACTGTTGGTTGTTAGAGTCAAGTGAAATTTGGTCAACAGGCATAGAAATTTGTGAGTTGTGTAATGTCTTGTTGTATGGGTATGGGATTTGGTGAAGTGATATTATCATCAAGAATGGGATCTATGGTGATAGAAGGAAGTACTAACTCTGGAATAAAAGATGAGATGTCAGTTTTATAAGGAAAAATATTCTCATAAAAAGTAACATCTCTTGACAAAAAAAAATTTTTACTGGCTAGATCATAGAGCTTATAGCCTTTGGTGCCTGGGAAAAAACCAAGAAATATGCATTTGGAAGCTAGTGAATCAAATTTAGACTGAATTTTATAATGATTTAAGGCAAAGCAAAGGCAACCAAAGATCTTTAAATGAGAATATTTTGGTTTTGCATTAAAAAGTAGTTGATGGGGAGTTTTGTTTTGGATTACAGGACTTTGTATACAATTTATCAAATGGACAGCATGAAGAACACATTCACTCCAAAGAGATAAAGGTAAAGAAGCTTGAAATCTAAGGGCTCTAGCTACATTCAGAATATGTTGGTGTTTGCATTCAACCACACTGTTCTGTTGAGGTGTATTAACACAGGAAGTTTGGTGTAATATGCCTTCAGAAGAATAAAAATGAGGCATATTAAACTTTTGTCCATTATCAGATCAAATGCATTTTATTTGTTTGGCAAACTGAGTGAAAACATATGAACAAAAATTTTGAAGATGGGTTCTAGCTTCAGATTTGTATTTTAACAAGAAAATCCAAGTACTACGGCTATATTCATCTACTATGGTGAGAAAATAATGAAAACCAGTAATGGAAGTGACAGACATAGGACCCCAAATATCAATATGATAAGATCAAAACAAGAATTAGCAGTAGTAACACTAGTGACAGACATAGGACCTCCCAAATATCAATATGAATAAGATTCAAATATGAACAAAAATTTTGAAGATGGGTTCTAGCTTCAGATTTGTATTTTAACAAGAAAATCCAAGTACTACGGCTATATTCATCTACTATGGTGAGAAAATAATGAAAACCAGTAATGGAAGTGACAGACATAGGACCCCAAATATCAATATGATAAGATCAAAACAAGAATTAGCAGTAGTAACACTTGTGGGAAAAGCTAACCTTTTTTGCTTAGCAAAGTGACAACTATCACAAGGTTTGGAACAATCAACAGTAATAGAGTTGTCTATTTGTTGTAAAACTTTGAGTTTTAGATTCAGGTACGTGACCAAGTCTATAGTGCCAAATAGGAAAATGTTTAGTAATGGCATTATTACATGAAGAAATGGAATAAGAGATAGGTTGAGTTTTTGAAGAAGGGTAAACCAACTGATGTAATCTTCTCCTTTTCTTAGCCAAGCCAATCATTTTCAAGGGTAAACCAACAGAATCATCAAGGTGGAAAGAAAGAGTATAGTTAGGTGAATTGGTATGTTGAGAGACAGATATTAGATTGAAAGAGAATTGTGGCATAAAAAACTCCATGTAAAACAAAAGGAGGACACAGAAACACACTGCCAATACGAGTAACTTCAACAAGCTGCTTGTTTGGAAGAGAAACATAAGTGCCTTGAATTGGTTTAGAGTTGTACAATAAATGCAAAGAACACACTACATGATCGGTTACACCGGTGTCAACTCATTTGTACAGTAGAAATATTGAGGCAAAGATTGCCTTATTTGATACTAAAATGGTATTAACCTCATGGCTAGGCTGTGTAGAAATTGCCACTGAATTCGATGAAGGAAGAGTAGAAACTTCCATGAGAGACATCAACTTCTCATATTGTTCCTTAGTAAGAGCATATTCAGATGCATTGCTGAGTTTATCATCAGAAAATTTGACAGATTGAACTAAATCTTCATTAGATTTAACTGAGTCAGTAATTTCAACTTGATTCACAGAGTTAAAACCTTGTGATTTGCTTTTGAATTTCCAACCAGGTGGAGATCCATGTTTTTCGAAACATTTAGCCACTGAGTGTCCTTCCCAACCACAAAAAGTACAAACAGGTTTCTTATTAGATGAGAATCGATCAACAAATTTTCTAAAATTTTGATTACTATAGATCTTTGATACGATAAAGGCATTATGATTCAGATCCATAGATTGAGAAATTACACCTGAATTCATTTGTCGTTCATGTTCTATAACAAGGGAGGATCAATTAACATGATCTGAGATCTAACAGCTGCAAATCCATCATTAAGACCTTTAAGAAACCTGATTGCCTAATCATTCTGCTGATATTCTCTAACTGTTTTCAAGGCTTCACATCGACATTGAGGTTATCAAGTACAGGAAGGAATTGGTCTCAAATTAACCATCTCATCCCAAACTATTTTCAGAGAAGTAAAGTAATCAGTAACGGAGAGATTACCTTGTTTAAATCCATATAATGCTTCTTGTAAAGTTGCAATTCTGAAAGAATCTCCTTGAGAAAACCTATCATTGAGATCGTTCCGTACATCAACAGAATTATCCATTCTGTTTTAATATTTTTTTTTTTATTATTATTAACACATAGCGATTGAAATTTATAGAATCTCTGTTAGTTTTATTATTCAAAATAATTTATATAAATCTTTGCGTTTATTATAAAATCAGTAAACTTTATTAGTTAGGATACTAAGTTTTATGTCCGAATAGTTATTTGTAATATTGAGATTTAAAAATTATTAATTATTTATTTTTCTGAAAAAAATTAAAGAAAAACTTAATTGTTAACATCTTGCTTGTTATATATAGTTCCATGCTTTTAATTTTTATTTTTAAAAAATAAAAATTAATTTATTTTTTCACTATTTATTTCTTTCAAGTTGTCATTTTCTTGCCTATGATGATTATTTCCAGTTATCAAACATCTTCCTTTTATTATCTGCCATTGAGATTTTAATTAACAATAGTAAGACATTAATAAAACATTGTACTCCAATCTTTAAATTTTAAAGTGATTGAATACCTATTTATCATTATTTATACAATTATTGAAAATGAATATTGAATTTGAAATGAGTAATTTGAATAAATAAATAATATTAACTTTATGTGAATAAAGAAGAGAATGAAAACAAAAGTAGAAAATTTTATTAGAGATGAGATTAATTTATGAGTAATTTGAATAAGTAAAAAACAAAAATCCTTCAACCTAAATAGGGTAGCTCAGCTGCAAAAAACATCTGTAGAGTTGATTACTATGGTTTTAGGTTCTGGTTTCGGTTTGTGAATCGTTAAATAAACATGGGTCTTGATACCTCATGCAAGTATTAAAAAAAAAAAAATCTATCAATCAAAATGTATTTTTATCGTAAAAACGGTTCTTAAGAAAACTTTAAGAAAAAAAATTAATGAATTTTAATCAAATATATTTTTCATCAACTGTATTTTCTTCATCTTTAAAAGCATAAAATATGAAGCGTAAACAACATCTAAAATAGAGAAAAATTAATGTGGCTTAAAAATATTTTTAAATCTATTTTTTCTTTTTAGTAAAACTAAGAGGTGTAAGCCCTTGTTTATGTTTAAAGCATAAAAGTTTTAAGTCATTCTAGTAAGTGATCTTTCTGAAAATCGAACTTATGCTTCTATATGAAGTTGGTACAAATGCATATCTTTTTTTAATTTGTATATTTCTATCATATTGGTTGGATATATACAATTAGTATAGGCATGAGTTACTCAAAATAATATCTCAGTCACATATTATTATTCTTCATTAACATTACATTAAATTTAATTTCGAAAGAAAAAACATTATATTAAATCTACATCTACTTTCAACAAATGATAATCACGAAGATACACATAAAAAACAATAGAATTACATATAAATTACATATGTTATGAATTAGGAGCATTTTTGCACATACACCTCTTTCAAAGTTACAATACATGCACTATTTCCAAGTGAAAATTAATTAGTTAATTGTCTCCTCCAAATAATTCCAATCCAATGGATCCCAATCCCAAAATGGTTGAGTATCAGTAACCATTGGCATAATGTTACTTCTTTCCCCAATTTGATCTGGAATATTATTATTTGTCCCTTGTGAGGATGAACTCTCATCAGGTGAGTTTGCTATCTCCATCTTTTCCATTTTAAGGTTTTGACAAGATGTTGTTGCTTCATCACCATGAGCAGCAGCTCCTGTTTGATCTCTCAGCATCTCCACCCCCAGTGGCCGGCGATCAAATGCTCGTAAGCTTTTCGATTTCTTGTACACTCGGCACAAACTGAATTCATGCCTTAACTGCAAATACAACAGAGAAACCGGCGATCAAATGCTCGTAAGCTTTTCGATTTCTTGTACACTCGGCACAAACTGAATTCATGCCTTAACTGCAAATACAACAGAGAAATTTTGTAATTAAGAGTCCCAAATTTATCACTAACTATTCAAGATCATAAAGCATTAGCCATTAGCTCAATGTTTAACTCGCAGTATAGGAGGTTTCTGATTCAAACTTTGTTAATTATATTTCTCAAACCATGTATAATTTGCTTTAAAATGAAATGGGAATGAAAACCCAAAAGTTTCATTTTAAATTCATTTTTTATGTATTTAAATAAATTACATAATTTAAAAAATCATTCTTATATACAAGTCATTGTTAGGCATCAGCTCTGATATCAGTTTTTGGGCATCAGCTCTGATACCACTCGTTGGGCCCCTTCAACCAATTAAGAGAAAATTAATGCAACGGAAAAGTAAACTTGTGACACACAGAAATTTACGTGGTTCACCCTCAACTGTTTAGGGCTACATCCACGGGACAAACTATTTACGTGGTTCACCCTCAACTGTTTAGGGCTACATCCACGGGACAAACTCCAAATCATTCTTCCACTATTAAAAATAGTAGGTAAACAAAGAGAGCAATACAAAAATAGTGGCACACAAAGTGTTTCCCAAAAACACCACATAATAATTTTCTCACTATTTTTCTCTCCCCTAGTTTTAGGAAACCCATCCTAAAACTATAACACTCTCTCTTGCTACTTTTTCTCTTTCTTTCTGGTGTGTGTTTCAATTGAGGAAAATCCTCTCCTATAAATAGGAGAGGAAAAGTGAGAGTCGTGTGTGAGTTACACACGGCTCTTCATTTAGGTTGGTTGCCAACCTTTTGCTTTTTCAAACAGCACGTTTTTTTTTTTCTTTTCATTTGTGTGTGGGTTCCACTTGAGTGGGCACCACCACAACAAATCTCCCCCTGCACACTCAAGTGGAGACTTTAGCTATCATCTCCCCTGCAGCTATAATCTATTTATTAGATCTGGCCCACCATCTGTACCGCCGCTTACAACTTTGCATGGACCACTACGCGCTTCGTAGGCGCACGCCGCCGCGACCTCGCTTTTGTCGGGAAGACTTTCGACACAAGGCACCACCTGGCAGATATTTTTCCGGTCTTGGTACCTATTTGTTAACAACAACTCTTTGCACGCTTTCAGTAATCTTTTTGACTGCCACGACACGACTCCCCTGCAATATGTGATTGGAATATCTTGAAAATCCATTCAACTGCAGTCCAATTATTCCTTCCAGAATTTTAAAAGCAATGTTCCTTTCCAGGATTTGAAAGAAACCCACTCACTACTCCAACTGAGTGAGCAATATCTGGCCGCGTACAAACCATGGCATACATCAAGTTTCCAACTGCTGATTTGTATGGAACCTTTTCCTTTTCTTCATTCTTTCCATCCGTAGAAGGGCACTGTTTAGAACTCAATTTAAAGTGATTAGAAAGAGGACAACTAACCGCTTTAGCGCTTTCTATTCCAAACCTTTGAAGTACTCTCTCAATGTACTTCTCGTGTGACAACCATAATTTCTTGGCTCTTCGATCTTCATGCCAATAATTTGCTTTGCTAGTCCCAAGCCTTTCATGGCAAAGACTTACTAGATTTCTGACCAACAATCAACATATCAACCACATATAGCAAAAATAATGTAGTATAGAGAATTTCTTCATAAAAAACACAGTGATCTTGACAGTTAGTCTTTCTGTACTTGCTCCCCCATAACAGACTCAAAACTTCTTGTACCACTATCTAAGTGCCTGCTTTCAAGCCGTACAGGCTCTTCTTCAGTTTGCAAACACAATCCTCCTTTTCCCTCTTTTCTTACGAAACCCTCTGGTTTGCTCCATGTATATTTTTCTCTTCTAAAATCTCCATATAGGAAGGTAGTTTTTTTTCCATCCATTTGCCTCCGATTTCCAGTTCAAAAATTGGCGCCGTTCCCGATTCACTTGTGTTTTTATTGATTTTTGATCTTTTTCACCAATTGTGAAAATGTGCAGGGGGAGATTTGTTGTGGTGGTGCCCACTCAAGTGGGACCCACACACAAATGAAAAGAAAAAAAAATGTGCTGTTTGAAAAAGCAGAAGATTGGCAGAAGGTTGGCAACCAACCTAAATGAAGAGCCGTGTGTAACTCACACACGGCTCTCACTTTTCCTCTCCTATTTATAGGAGAGGATTTTCCTCAGTTGAAACACACACCAGAAAGAAAGAGAAAATGTAGCAAGAGAGAGTGTTATAGTTTTAGGATGGGTTTCATAAAACTAGGGGAGAGAAAAATAGTGAGAAAATTATTATGAATTATTAATGGGGTGTTTTTTGGGAAACAACTTTGGTGTGCCACTTAAATTTTTTGTAATTGCTCTCTTTGTGTAACCTACTATTTTTAATAGTGAAGTAAATGATTCGGAGTTTGGTCCCGTGGAATGTAAGCCCTAAATCAGTTGAGGGTGAAGCCACGTAAATTTTCTGTGTAACCACGTAAATTTCTGTGTGTCACAAGTTTACTTTTCTGCTGCGTTAATTTTCTCTTAATTGGTTGAAAGGGCCCAACGAGTGGTATCAGAGCTAATGCCCAAAAACTGGTATCAGAGCTGATGCCTAACAACTGGTATCAGAGTCTGATTCCTAACAAGTGGTATCAGAGCTGATGCCCAAAAACTGGTATCAGAGTCTGATTCCTAACAGTCATTTTATGTGAATCAATCAAATAATAAAATGGATTATATTTTCTATTCTAAAAACAATATACCAAGAAATTTTCTTTTTTTTTTTAATTTTTTTGTTAATATTTTTTCTGGACTTCAAACTCATAATTAATATCCCTGATTCAATACTGAATAAGATTACAATACTGAATAGAGAAGAATTCACCAAAAACTAACTTAACACAAGATGCTCTATACAATTATTTATACTCCTTTACGGACACCAATGACACATAAAATTTAGCTCTTAAAATTTGTTACAACTCATCTTTCTCTCTCTACATTCTCTGTAACAGATTTGCAACTCCTCACAACTCCTCAACTGTTTTTGTTATCAGCAAGGAGAAAAGTGTACTGCATGTGTTTTGAACACTTGGCGTTTTATTAAGCTGTGCGACACCGTTTTTCTTCTTTTCAATTTCTTTCCTTTCTTTATAATGAAACGGTGTCGTTGGCTAATACTAGCCGTTACTAAATAACGGCTTTCTTCTTCAAAACATCAGCATCCTCAACCTCCTGTTAATCTTCAACTCTGTTACCCCCCGGCAAGGCTGGGCCCATGGATATCAGACATGCCCAGTTTGGGACAGAGAAACTTAAAGCGAGAAGGAGAAAGGGATTTGGTAATACAAGTCCAGCAAGCTGCAGCTCTGTAGAAATAGGCGCATAGATGGAACAAGGCCAGAATTAACTTTTTCTCAGAAAATGGCAATCTATCTCTATATGCTTCGATCGCTCATGAAAGGCAGGGTTAGCTGTGAGATAAATTGCAGATTGATTATCACAAAAGATACTGATGGGTGTAGATAAATCATGACCAAGATCTGACAATATATAGCTTAACCATTGAAGCTCACAGGTTGTAACAGCAAGAGCTCGATACTCTGCTTCTGAAGAGGATCTGGACACAGTCACTTGCTTCTTCGATCGCCAGCTGATCAAGGAATCTCCCAGGTAAATTCCATAACCTGTTATAGATCGCCTTGTATCAGGGCAACCAGCCCAATCAGAGTCGCTGAAGGCAATGAGCTTGGGTGCTGAACTAGCTTTATAGAATAAGCCATTACCAGGACTAGATTTAACATATCTGAGAACCTTGAGCAAAGCTTGATAATGAGATGTTCTTGGTGCAGATAGAAATTGGCTCAAGGTATTGACATGCAGATGAGAAATTGGCTCAAGGTTATTGAACACAGCATAAAGTGATATCTGGCCTTTGTGGTAGTGAGATATAAGAGGTTGCCCCACTAGTTTTTTCTTGTAACCAGGTTACATCACTCAACAGTTCACCATCATCTTTGGACAGTTTGAAACATTTATAATCCATAGGAGAGGAGGAAGGCTTAGCACCCAAAACTCCATACTCAGTCAGGAGCTCTAGTGCATACTTTCCTCTGACATATATGTAAACTGCCTTTGGACCCTAGCAATTTCCAAACCCAGAAAGTAACCGTAGCTTACAAAGATTCTTTTAATCTTGTTTAATTTGGCATCCCAGAGAACTTTTGACCTGAAGGTAATTTCTGAAAGAATCATTTTCCTGCTAAGAACAATATGCATTGGCTAGTTTGATTACTTAAGATAAGATAAGATAAGGATGCCACATGGATTATTCCTATTGGTTCCTTGGATTGTTAGGATAAGGCTCTTTGCCTATAATATGTAAACTCTCTCCATTGTAAAATTATCAAATGCTTTCATTAATAAAATCTCTGGTGTGTTTTCTCTCTATTGCTTTCTAAATCTTCTCTCTCTCCTTTCTGAAGATAGTTGTTGTGCCTAAGTAGTTTTCCCTTTAGTTATGATCCGTTGTCTCCAATCTGTACCCCCTCCTGTTATGCTGGTTCCGTGTTCTAAAGACCTCGAACGGCCTTTTGTCGCCATGGATGGCTTGTGTGGCTGTACAGTTGCGAACGTCTGAATAGTATAACAGGAAGGGTGGATAGCTCTCGGCAGCTTGGTATCAGAGCCTAAAGCCTGAAAAATGCTTTGCTATAGTAACTATTGGAAGAAGGAGACACTACAAAAAAAACGCCATTTTGCGACCGACAAATGGGTCGCAAAATGGCAAAAATCGGTCGCTATTTATACTTAATCGGTCGCTATTTGTACTGTGCGACCGACTTTTGTCGGTCGCAAAATCACTGGTCGCAAATATAAATTGCGACCGATGAGAAAATCGGTCGCAAATCAGAGACCGATAAGTCGGTCGCAAAATTGAATAATCGGTCGCAACTT